AATTAGAGTTCCTGCACTTATTTTTTCCCACTTCAAGCACTGGTCAGAGGGCCAATTGCTGTCTGGAGGTAAGTTACCGTCCACCTGGTCAGCACAGGCTGCAGAGGTGTTCGCCCTAGCCCAGGCCTGCCGCCAGTTCGCAGGTGAGGATGTCACGATATTCACAGATTCCAGGTATGCATTCGGGGTATGCCATGACCATGGAGCCCTCTGGAAACAGAGGGGCTTCCTCACCAGCACAGGTAAACCAATACAGCACCATGAGTTAGTCTGAGACCTTCTTTCTGCCATCCAACTGCCTCACTCCATTGCTGTGGTTAAGTGTAAGGCTCACACGGGGTGCTCTGACCCGGTCAGCATTGGTAACTTCTGGGCCGATTGGTGGGCTAAGAGGGCAGCCTTACACACTGATGCCCCAGTGGCGCTCATGCCTTCACGGGTATTACATGACACTCACACCCTCCTTGATGTCCAGTCGGGTGTGACAGAGGGGAAGAACACATAGTGGAATGGGGTTAGCTTCATTTGAGGTGCTCACCGGGAGACCAGTGCCGCTCCCATACCCGGGAGGCACGCTCACGTTAGAAACTGTTGATGGCGATTTACTACCCTATGTGTCTAGTTTACAGATTTCCTTGAAGAGGATCCATAGCCAGATCAGGGCTGCTCAGGTCGGACCGGAGCCAAATCAGCCAGAGACCATAGGACCAGGAGAGTGGATCCTGATCAAGGACCTGCGCCGGAAGCATTGGCATCAACCGAGGTGGCGGGGACCATACCAAGTCCTTCTCTCCACACCTAACGCCGTGAAGGTCGACGGTATCTCCTCCTGGGTCCTGGCACTGCAAGAGATCTTAGTCCTCCTGAAAGACTATGATTTGGAGACGTAGATTGGGGTATTGGGCCCCAGCTATAAGCATTATTATTGGTTGTGTAATTTTGTGTTCTATTATTGCTTATGTAGGGTATATGTATGATCATGTGAATCTAAAGGAAAGCAGAGATGATATAAAGGGTGAAGGAACAAAAACATATCATATGCCTCAACTGAATTCGTATTGGCAATTTGCAAATTTCTCGGTGATGCAACAAAACATTTCTGGTCATTGTTTGGTATGCACTTTGATTCCTCACTCAGTGGAACAACCGTTTCCTTCATTGTTGCATTCACTGCAGTGAAAGAGGAACTCACGGCTGTCCGTTTAATGACCACCCAAAATAGATTAGCCCTAGACATACTGCTAGCCAAGGAAGGAGGAGTTTGCGCTATGGTGGGAGACCATTGCTGCACGTACATTCCCCCAAATGACGAGGACAACGGCAATTTGTCACAGGCCATCGCCAAAATGCATGAGGTCGCCCATGCGCTGTACGGTCAGGAGTCTCATGATAATGGCATATGGCCATGGCCCCTGAATATGTTTCAGGCATGGTTTGGGAAGTGGACATTGATTATCCTCTCTGCTCTCCCTATTGTTTTATTGCTTGTCTGTGTGTGCTTATTTGTTCCATGCTGTATACCATGTTGTTCTACTATGGCTCAATTTCATCCACGGGCGTCACGTCATCAGATGGTACAGCTTATGCAGGACGTTCCACCGCAGAGGAAGAAGCAACAGACAGCACGTTCTGCTGCCTCCCATGCCCAGCTGGAATGGACTGCTCCTGGGAACCCTTACTCCTCGGACGAGGACGACGTCAGTGTGTGATACAAGAATGATTTTGTATCAAAGGGGGGAATGTAGTGGAAAATTACCACCAAGCATGATGTCTGATGGTTACTAAGGAAGTTAGGCTGCAAAATAAGGTTGCTATGCTCGAAGAAACAGATGCAAGAGACTGGGGAGGGGGTTTTAGACCTTACCCATGTTAAGCTAGACAAGAGATGAATTTTTATTCTATATATGGTAAATATAAGATGCTTGTGCTAGACGAAAAGCTTGTCCTGAGCATAGAATGTGCAAAAGCAGACATGGGTCTTCCGGTTGTGGTTGCAGAGAAAGGTCATTTGTCTGTCAATATAAAATGAAAGCAGCTGCGTCTGCTTTTTGGAGAACTTCTCAGAACTGTCTGCGGAGAGTCTCCCCGAGCTCGCATAGAAAGATATCTCAATAAATGAAACCAAGCTAAACCATTGGACTCATCTGTTGCTTCCTACCTCCAAATTTCCATAACACATGTTAATCTTCTTAAAGCTTATTTCTCTCCTGTACCTGTTGGGTTGATAACTCCTCCTGCACATCCCCCTCCTATTAGTAGTAGATTTCTTGAGGCGACGCCCTTGCAGCAAGAACATGATGGGGAACTGGCTCTCCTGAGATTACTGAGGGACGGTTACAGAATTCTGAGATGCGGCAGAATTGTATAGCTATCTCTCCGATCTGTCAGACAGGGAAAGGGCTGACATTATTGAGTTGGTTGATGCTTTTCCATCTCTTTTTCCAGATGTGCCAACTCGTACCACAGTCATTGAACAAAATATCGATCTTGGATCAGCCCAGCCTATTAAACAACATGCCTATCGAGTAAACCCCACAAAAAGGGCAATACTGAGGAAAGAGGTGGAATATTTGTTAAAACATGATTTGGCTGAGCCCAGTTTTAGCCCATGGAGCTCGCCTTGCTTGCTGGTGGGTAAGCCGAATGGAACTTATACAGTAGGTTTTGTATGGATTATAGAAAGCTGAATACCGTTATACAACCAGATTGTTTTCCTCTTCCCCGTGTGAATGATTATGTTGATCATGTTGGAGCAGCTAAGTTCATTAGTAAATTTGATTTACTAAAGGATTATTAGCAAGTGCCTTTGATCCAGCATGCTAGAGAGCTATCTGCTTTTATTACTCCAGATAACTTCCTTCAATATAAAGTTATGCCTTTTGGGGTTCGGAACGCACCTGCCACCTTCCAACGTCTTATTAACTATGTCTTAAGTGGAATGTCTGGGTGTGAGGCTTACCTGGATGATGTAGTTGTGTTTAGTTCCACCTGGCCAGAACATCTTGAGCAGATTAAGGAGCTTTTTCAATGTTTATCCAGTGCTAATCTCACAGTAAACCTTGCCTAGTGTGAGTTTGGCAAGGCAACAGTTACTTATTTTGGTAAAGTGGTTGGTCAGGGCCAGGTTTATCCTGTAAGAGCCAAAGTTGAGGCCATTCGTAATTTTTTAGTGCCCTCCAATCGCCCGGAATTGCGGCGGTTTTTGGAAATGGTATGGTACTATTGAGGGTTTTGCCAGAATTTCTCTATAGTTGTCACTCCTCTGATTAACCTCCTTAGTAGTAAAATTCCTTTTGAGTGGACAGATGCCACTCAACAGGCCTTTGAGGCTGCTAAAGCATTACTAGTCAGTGCTCCTGTCTTGGCTGCTCCGAGGTTTGAAGAACCTTTTCAATTAGCTGTTGATGCCAGCGACTGGGGTGCGGGAGCTGTTCTTCTCCAGATAGCTCCTGATGGAGTTGAACATCTGGTATGTTATTTCTCAAAGAAATTTAACAGAGAATAGTTGGGCTATTCTACTATGGAGAAGGAGGCTTTAGCTCTTGTCCTGGCTGTTTTAATATTTCAAAATTTATTTGAGTAATGCCCGTAGTCCTATTACTGTCTACACTGATCACAACCCATTGGTATTTATTGACAGGATGCGGAACTCTAATCAGCGGGTTATGCGATGGAGTCTTATTCTTCTGCCATATCCCCTAAAGATAATACATTAGAGGTATCGATAATGTCACTGCTGATGCTTTGTCTCGAGTATAATTACTCTGTGGTAGATTCTATTCTTTATTTCTCCTGTTACGACCCCCCCCCCCTGCTTTTCCTGCAGTCAGTGTAGTGGCCATTTAGTGACTACATGTTGTAGGGGAGGACGTTAATTGCCCACACCTGGCGCCGGTTTGGGTATAAAAGCGCCTGCGGATATTTTGGACGTCCTCCGCTCCTCTCTCCAAATACTCGCGCACCCCTGCATTTCTATCCCTGCATTTCGCATAGTTTCGCAAACTTTTACCTCTAGACCGGTTTTACCCTTGTGTTTGAACTAATAAATTAAGTGTTTCTTAAATTATTACCTTGTTGTTGGTCTCCCTTTTTTTATGCTGCGGTCTTACACGAGCTGGCCGTAACAAACATTTAAAGAAATTATTTTGCCCCTGCTGCTAGAAGCATACCATCATACGTTACAATATAGCGTTATGGCTCCTTTCTGGAATGATGCAACAATAGTTGTAATACCTAAGGAGGGTAAGGATCCTACCAAATGTCAGTCTTACAAACCCATATCCCTGCTGAATACAGACATACGCATACTAACAACCATTCTGGCAAAATTTTAACAATTATCACAAAAATCATTCATCCTGATCAGACAGGGTTTATAGTGGGAAGGTATTACGGAGACAATGTCAGGAGGTTATTAAATTTGATGACACACCCAACTGTTAGAGAAGAGACCGCAATGATTCTGTCCCTTGATGCCGAGATGTCTTTGATCAAGTATCCTGGCAATACCTATTTCAAACACTGAAACAATTCCGATTTGGCCCCAACTTCATAAAATGGGTAGAGGGCTTGTATTCTAATCCACAAGCTACTGTGAAAGTAAATGGACACACTTCTGCCCGATTTGCATTAGCTCGTGGATGTAGGCAGGGTTGTCTCATCACCGCTGCTGTTTAACATCAGTATTGAGCCTCTTGCACAATCAATTAGAGATGATAGTAACGTAAAGGGTCTGTCTATAAATAAAGAGCAAGATAAAGTTTCGCTGTATGCAGACATTGTCCTCTTATACATAGCAGATCCAGAGTACTCAATCCCGTCTTTAAGGAACTTCATCTCTAACTATGGCTTTTTCTCTGGATATAAGGTGAACATGGACAAAACCATGTCTATAGATATAGCAGGCAATATTCCGCAAGGGTTCAAGCTTCTAAGTGGGTTTAAATGGCCTAAAACTGGCATTAAATACCTGGGTATTCAAATTCCCCTCTCACTAAAAAACCTATATGATGCCAATTACAAGCATATTATTCAAGAAATCAGCAAAGACCTGGACCGCTGGGCAGCACTCCCCCTGTCTTTAGGAGGCCGAATTGAAAGTATACGTATGAATGTGCTCCCTAGGCTCCTATACCTGTTTCAGATGCTACCCATTGAAATACCTAAATCTGCTTTTGATGTATTGAATAGGCTAATTTCAAAGTATGAATGGCAAGGGAAACGCCCAAGAGTTAGACTAAAAACACTACAGCTATCTAAATTACATGGAGGGCTCAAACTTCCAAATCTAAAGTATTATTTTTGGGCTGCGCAATTAAGACCCCTGATAATATGGATGCAAGATCTCACAGACTCACGTTGGCTCAATATTGAAAAAAGCATATATCTAACCCCCTTACAGACGCTGCCGTTTTGTGATATTTCCCCACAAAAAATCCCAATGAGTGAATGGACTCATACTACGCTAAAACTCTGGTGGAAAGTAAAATCATCATTCGGTCTGCCCAAAGCAATTTCAGCACTAACTAATATAGGATATATTCAAGACTTCATACCATCTCATACAGATGCAGGCTTTAGAAGATGGTCAGCACATGGACTTTCTAATTTGTATCAGCTCCACAAGGATGGATGCCTTAAATCATTTGACCAGTTAAAAGTGGAATTCAAAATTCATACACATGTTACTACATATTCAATGAAAAGAGCCAGAAATAGTGACATGAGTTCGGTTTTTCTTATTTATTTATCCAACTGAATGTTGCAACTACACCATTAGTCATCTTCATGTACTGTAGCCAAGACTTTGGTGATCAGATATCTGGGATCAAAACAAACTGCCAGCATTGCTTACTATGTACTTTTATAATGTGTCTGCAATTGTTCCAAACTGCATTTTGCAATGTCTATACTTTGATGTCAAACTACAAACTTAACATAAATCTGATATACAGTAAAACTGGTCTAAGTCGCCGTCTTGTAACTCGTCAATGTGCCTAAGTCGACGCTCAAGCAAAAGTCCCGATTTTTCCTAACGATGTTTCCTTTAAAATTCCTTGTGTAACTCGTCGCTTGTAAGTCGTCAAATTCCCTTAGTCGTCACCTAAATCCCAGTCCCGAAGAACACAAATGAATGGATTTTCCTACCTGTAAGTCGACACCCCAATCGCTGCATTCCCGCCGCCTGCTTCACAACGCCTGCTTGTTACCACGGCAATGTAGAAACGGGGAATCCCCACCTATCGCACTAGTCGCTCCCTGGTCTTAAGTCTCGCGTGTATAGTGCGGTGTAGTAGAGGTATGGTGTTATATTTACTAGTCGGCAAAACGGCGAGATAGACATAAGTCGCCGACGTGTCGACTTAGGTGTATCTCGTCAATTCTCTAAGTCGTCACTTTTAAGCTGGTCCCGCGAGTGTCGACTTAGACCGGTTTTACTGTATTTACAAAGTACACTAAGTTAAAGATGAGTTTAGTGCCAAAACAAATATATAAGAAATAATTTATTTGCCATGAATTAAGTTTATGATATTGAATGAAATGTGTGACCATGCCCCAGTCAGTGAAAGTCTGTTCCCTACCCCTAGACTCCAGAGGGTTAAGAGCCCTCGGGACCCACGGGATAGTATCCCATACTGCCCTGGCCCCCTTATTAGACAGGCGTGCCTCCCTGAAGTGGTAAGCTGTTAGCGGTGGCAGCTCTGTGGCGGCAATGCGGGCTTTGGGCACCTGCAGGGATGAAGCAGCGGTGATGTCTGGGGTGAGCCCTGCCGTATTCCAGATCGGGAGGGGTCCCTTAAGATATCTGACGGAGAGAGAAGCTGCAGAGAGAGAGACGGCCCCCAGGAAGATTGTTGGTTTTTCGTCCAGTCTACTCTCCTTTGGCTTCTTTCTATTCTTCCTCCAGTTGGTGGCTGGTGGCAGAGGTTGGACCATCTCCGGGAGGACAGACGGCAGTTCGGCAACTTCCGCCCTGTGTAGCTGGATCCTCCCCTCAGTCACGCACTTCACCAGCTACCAGAGGTTTTCGTGCACCTTGCTCATGAGGTATACGTTCCCGGGCGGAGGCATCTCCCTAAGGAGGGTCCCGCTCCGGCTGGCTAACTCCAGCGCCACGGGATCTTCCCGGACCTCGGGCTGGTTTAGCCAGAATATTACTTCCTGGAGTAAACTGAGGTGTTATTTCTCGGCTCGCAGAAGTGAGTCTTCTTGGAGTTCCGTCATTCTGTCAGGTCCGAGTGTTGGGTAAGCGAGCAAGGAGTCAGGATGAGGCAGCCAAAATGCAGGAAACGGGGTTTATTCAGGACAAACAGGCAGACAAGGTAAACCACGGAAAAGATTTCAATGACGGAACTGTGGAAACAGACTTCAACGCGGATTTCAATACACAGGACTACTCAGAAATAACACGAAACAGCTGAATACCATCAGGAATTCACACGAGGTAACGAGGGGGGCGTGGCACACGGAAGGATCGTACGAGCAGGTCATGACAAGGATTATATTAATTACAGGTTAGTCAGAGAGAAAAAACTATAAAATTATATTTTTCTTGTTTATTCAGCTCACTGAACACAGGCATTTATTTTAGTCATACATTTAAGAGTAAAAAGGATTATAAAGGTTAAAAAGCAGAGATTTTACCTTTTTGCAAGGAGAACCAGCAACACGTCACAGCGACAATGAGGAGTTTGGATAAACATAAAACCCTGGATAGAGGGGCTCAGTGAATGAGGAGGTGAATCTGTACAGGGGGGTCAGTCCACCAGAGGAGACTCTGTAGAAGGACAGAGCACCAGCCTCCCAGTCCAGATACACTCCTACTCTGCGGGAACCTGAGGACTTTATGGGTATGTCAGTCTGTTTATTATTGTGGCGGACAGAGTAACCGACAGGATCACAGCGCAGCATCCATGACTTGTCATTGCGTCCAAGCCGACAGTCAGCATTGTCTCCTTTCCTCCCGATTCCTTTATAAGTCACTCCTATATCAGCTCCATCTCCACTCCACTCAGCCTCCCAGTAACAGCGGCCAGTCAGACTCTCTCTGCACAGAACTTGGTCGCAGTGGTCAAATCTCTCTGGATGATCAGGATATGGCTGCTCTTCACCTCCTGTCACCTTCCTGTTCCCCCCTGACAGAGACAGGCGTCTGTTTGCTGTGTTGGGGTCCAGCGTCAGCTGGCAGGAGTCTGTAGGCAGGAGGAAGAATTATTAATACCATCAGGCAGCCTATACGTTTCTGTACGATATAAAAACAGCACAGCTTCCCCGAATGAAACAGGAATTTAACTTTATGAAAAGCTCAGGAAATGCTGGACGGGGGACACGACACCAGCGGGAAGAGTTGCCAAAATGGCAAAATTTCTGATACAAATGCCTCCGAAAATGATTCCGGCGCCGGAGTTGCGCTCCATGACGATCTAGTATTTGCAGCGATTGTCTGACATGGTCTTTAGTCACAGCAAAGCCGGTCTGAATGCATTTCACATGCATTGGCTTATTTCCGTGAAGCGTGTCATACTGTATCTACTGATCTGGGAGAAACACTGTGGTGTCAAGCAGGGCAAAATAGGTGCTGCGCAAAGTTGAAAAATTAACGATAATACCGTCTACAAACCATCAGTAAAAGCGGATTAAACTATACAGATCGTGCATCATGAAAAACAGGATGGTTACCTCATTAATTCAGAAAAACAGAAAAATATTGCTCAGAAAAACGGGATTATTATCTCATTAATTCGGAAAAAACAGGATGATTATTACGTTAAATCGGAAAAACTGAATTGACTTGTTTTTCAGATGAATAGAATACGCTTCCATAGAAAACCGCTTACCGCGAGGCGTGAGCCCCGCATCTCGCGCAGGTACGTCGCCGCTCTAATCTGTTAACATGGGCGCCAAAATGAAATTTGATATTTTCCACCGCACATCCAGTGTGTCACGGGCGCAAATTTCTTTTAGCAGCTAGGGTAGTTTGGGAAATCTTATTAATATCCATGAGCAAAGACCTACATGATTAGCTGGCTCATTAATATGTATGAGAGGATCGCTGCCTGATTAGCCAGTCAACATCAACATGTGCTGCCTGTTTTTTCACTCTAAGGCAGGGCTGCCCAAATCCAGTCCTGGGGGTCCGGAGCCCAGTGTAGCTTAGTTCTTTCCCTGTTCCACCATAAATGATTCAGCTCAAGTGCTGTGTGGTAATTAGCACAAGGAGTTGAATCAGTTATGTTAAATAAGGGGAAACCCAAAAATGTGCAGGACTCTGGCCCTCCAGGACTGGATTTGGGCACCCCTGATTTAAGGCATTCACTGGCCAATCAGGAATATTCTCTCATGAGTATTAAGGGATGCTCCAGAACCACCCTGTAAAAATGTAAATTCACATTTCGCACTTGAGGAGAGAGTCCAGTGTCACTGCCTACGGGTGCCGTCTTAGGACAATACTAACAAATCTCACACAGAAAACACATACACTCACGGCGTGTGCAAAAAACACAAATGCAAAGGATTCTTTTTGCGAAATTAAAGATGTACAACTACATCAGAATATATTTTAACCATCTTACCCTCCCACACAAATACAAAGACAATATGAGCAGCTATAAAGTATTTGTAAAAATATTTTTAAAAACGACTAAATTAATTCAAAGTGTTTTTGGTGATGATTTTGCTGTTTTATTTTTCTCATTTGGATGTGTAAAATGACACAAACAGAAACTCACCTAAACACAAACATGGAAATCCATCTACACACAATGCAAAAGCCACACTCATCACAACAATTGTGTAAATACAACCATAACATAGTATTAATGGTATTATTTACAGATCATGTTTAAAAAACAGATCACTGTTTAAAAAACATGCAAACACACTTACATTTCTGTAAGCCTGGTCTGGTCCTGCACTCTCCACTGTGGTCCACACTATAGGAGAAGCAGAATGACGTAGTGCTGCTGTATCCATTTATTTATTGGTGCCTCTTCTTCACATACATGCATAAGTATCTGTAGCATGTCAAACTCACACTCTGTACTCACTTCAGCTTCTCCAGTTTACAGCTGGGATCCTCCAGTACAACAGAGAGCAGCTTCACTCCTGAGTCTCCTGTTTGATTGTAGCTCAGGTCCAGCTCTCTTAGATGTGAGGGATTTGACCTCAGAGCTGAAGCCAGGGAAGAACAGCCTTCTTCTGTGACTCTACAGCCTGACAACCTATAGAAAGGAAATCACAAAATACAGGTGGCAACGATTCTTCAGAATGCCAGTGCTGATGTGCCCAAAGGGACCAGCGACTGGCCTGGACCCACCAGACCAAACAGCCCATCAGCACCTCCCCCTTTTCCTCCATCCCTGATCATCCTGTTCCTGATAAAAAGCTGCCATTCGGGGGTAATGTTCTACACTTGAGTTTGCCTGTGTGTCTCTGTTCCTTCGGCCGCTACACACAGTTCACTGAAGCTCATCTTTTAGCCACACTGACTCTGTAGTAACAGACAAAAATCAGCCAGGTTAAAAATTAAACCATCCAGTGACAGTGACCCACTGCATGAAACTTAGAACAACTGGATTCCCTGGACTCCTGCCACAAGAAGAGCACTAATGGCAGAGAGGATGAGGCCCTGGGGTGATGCCAAGAGCAAATGGTGTGACATCACAGGTGCAGGAAAGTAGGCTAAACCCCAAAGGGTGACGATCAGCACCACAGCACTGGACTGAAACCACTAGATCCCCGCAGTCAGCCGCAGAAACACCCATGAGGAAGTGAGGAATGCCAACAGGAGGCGACCAGCAGCTGATAAGAACTTTAGAGAGGGGGCAGTATTGCCTCCCCCAGGACGACTCAAAGCCTGCACCGTTGACAACCCCACAATGAAAATGACTTCACTGTGATGGTCCATCCGCATCTGCGTGACGTATGAACCAGCCCTGGACAGCAGGGGGGGAGGCCGACTGGTGAGCAGGCCACTTGTCATCTTTCTCTCTCTCTCTCTGAAGACAGACGGCCTGGGGGATGACCACACGGAAGGGACTGCCACCTCCCACCTGCTCAGCCCGTCACCAAGGAGCCGGGCCCAGCCATGTGCCCTTTCTAAATGTACCCCCTTTTCCCCCTAAAATAAACACTGTCCATTTGGGGTGTCCACCACAACCCAATGTCTCCTGCCTCCTTACCCAAAAGAGGAGACTAACCTGGGAAAGATTAACCTTCACATCCAGATCAGAACAGAGCTGGGAAACGCCCCCACCTGACTGCCGAGGGGAATCGCTGACGATCCCCCCAGGGAGAGGGCTGTACAGAGCCTCCCATGTTCTGGCTGTGAAAACACTGGCAGCAGGTGAATATGTGTACAGTGGATGTCAAAAGCTGACATACCCCTATTGTATCTGTGCGCTGAGCTAAAGCTTTTCAAGGTATTTTTATTTAAATAGTTCCTCTTCTTATACACTCACCTAAAGGATTATTAGGAACACCATACTAATACGGTGTTTGACCCCCTTTCGCCTTCAGAACTGCCTTAATTCTACGTGGCATTGATTCAACAAGGTGCTGAAAGCATTCTTTAGAAATGTTG